GTGACCACACAAAAACATCCATGTTACGTCTCAAAAAGTCTATTAGCGGGCCAACCAGGTCTTACAAAGGGAAAAACCGATGTATACTCTTCTGTCTGGGTGCTCCTCATCCAAGGCCGTAGAGGTGAGCTCCTCGACTAGTTCTCCTCTCTCTATGGTGGTGTTATCCCTCGGATCAAGGACCTCCACTTGCAACTCTTCCTGTGGCTTCCTGGTCTTCATGGAGGAGACATAGCACTCCCTCGCTGCTATCTGGTCTCCTCTAACCTCTCTGACTCCATTCGTGGTTGGAAAAGCGAAGGATGAGGTGATAGGTGGAGGGCACAACTCTAAATGTGTTAAGAGCAGGTCGCCCCAATATGATATTGTAGGCTGATGGGCAGTCTATGACCAAGAAATTGACCATGACTGTGGGGCTCTAGGGCGACGCTCCGACTGTGACAGGTAGGGTGATGGACCCTAAGGGATATACCCTTTCCTCTGAGAATCCAATGAGGGGTGATCTAATAGGTTGTAGTCTCTCTCTGCCAAAGTTGAGCTTGTCATAAGCCTCTGCAAATCGGATATTCGCAGAGTTGCCACTATCCACTAGGATCCTGCGCACTTGAAAATTGGCCACGGTCATGGTGAGCATCAGGGGGTCGTCATGTGGGTGCTGGATTCCCTCTAGGTCCTTATCTAAGAAAGATATGACCTCACTGTCGCCCTACTTTGGCACTTTGGATGGGCGTATCTCGTCGAGGTGCCTTGTCTTTTTGGCGTGGGCCTTCATTGTAGAGAGTGATTCTCCATCTCCTGCTAGTCCTCCCGAGATGGTATGGATCTCCCCCACTGGTTGCTGGTCTTCTTGATTGTGAGGTGGTGATGCTCGTTCTCTGCCAGCAACATACTGGCGTAGGTGACCACGGTGGATGAGTTCCTCAATTTGTCTTTTGAGGTCATAGCAATCGTTGGTGTCATGCCCATGGTCGCGGTGGAAATGGCAGTACTTGTTAGGATTTCTGCAATTTGGAGGAGATTTCATCTTCCCTAGCCACTTTATGGTGGGGTCATCTTGGATCTGGAATAGGATGTGCCCGACTGCTGCGTTGAGGGGAGTGAAGGCTTGTCAATCCCTCTGAGGAGTAGGACCTAGCCAGTCTTTGACGTGAACCCTCTTTATTCTGCCACGTTTGTTGCTAGTCTCCTTCTTGTCTTCTTTCTCCCTTTCCTTCCTCTTTTCCCTTGCTGCTCTAGAGAATTCACCTCGGCTGGCCCTTGTGATGTCCTCAGCATTCATGTATTTTTGGACATTTGCTAACAGTTCTGGCATGCTCTTTGGTGGACGCTTCATCACTGAAAAGAGGAAGCTTGACGAGCGGAGGCCTCCCAGGAAGGCGGTCATCGTCACTTTGTCGTCGGGCTCATCGACTTGGAGTACCTCCTCATTAAAACGAGTGAGGTAACTCCTTAGGTTCTCCTCCCTATTCTGCTTTATGCTAAGTAGATGGGTGACAGGCCTCTGGTGGCGACGCCCCCCAATGAAATGTGATACGAATGACCTGCTCAGCTAAACAAAGGAAGCAATGGAGGCTGGGGGGGAGCTTAGTGAACTATTGTCGTGCGGCCCCCTTCAATGTGGTTGGGAACGCCCTGTACATGATTTCGTCTAGGACGTTGTGCAACTACATCAGAGTCTTGTAGGTGTTGAGGTGGTCTAGTGGATCTTTTGTTCCGTCAAAGGTCACCATAGATGGCACTTTAAACTTCTGAGGGAGGGGGTAGTTCACCACGTCAGGTTTGAAAGGCGTGTCTGCACTATCTCAGGTCCCTGTGCCTTCATGGTGTTGAAGACATCACCCAGTTGATTTTGTACATCCTTGATTTTCTCATCCCAATGATTTGGGACTCCCCTCGAATGATCATGAGAATGACTCTCATGCTTCATGTTTTGGTTCTCACTCTCATCCTCTTTGAGATAAGGGTCCTCACCATGGGAAGTAGGAGGAGGAGGAGGAGGTGGAATTCCCTCATGATGGGCTCCCATGTGTGGGGCACCCAAGGGGACTCCAAGGGCAAGGTTAGGCGCCGAGGTGTGGTGCAGCAGGGTGTGGAGCTCCTTGGGGTCCTCCATGCTGTGCACCTCCAAGTTGCGCTCCTCCTCATCCAGCGAGCATGAGTTGCAGTATCTGCTGGTTTTAGGCCACCAGCTGCTGCATGGTCTCCAACATTTGTTGTAGATTTAGAACTAGAGCATTTAGGACAGGGTTGGTGGGTGGAGGAGCAACTTCCTCCTCTCGTGATGAATTGCCTTCATGTTGGTTTATGAATCTGGTTGTGATCTTCATTGGTTCAGTAAATGGAATGTTTAGGAGTGAGAATTTTGTCGTTTCCCACAGACGGCGCCAAACTGATGATGCACAAAATAGTTTTGCACACCACATGTCAAGTGTGAACAATAAATGCAAGAAAATAATATCAGGAGATGGAGAGACACAGGCAATTTATAGTGGTACGATCAACTCGACCTACGTCCACTCTTTAATGGCTCTAGTTGTTGGGTATTTTATTAACTCAAAGGTGTGAGGAGCAGAGAGTACAAGCTTTGAGAGAGAGAGGAGAGAGTCATGCTCAGGTGATGTGTGATACCTCCCAAGTGTTGGTGGGGCGTGCAATTTATAGTGGTCTCTTAACAGGTTAGGGCTATTTTACAACAACTAAGCAACTATTTCGGTAGAGCTCACGACTTTTTCTCAAAGGGCGAGGTGGTTGAGATGCTCTCCATGAGATGCGGTCAAGGATAAGGTAAGAGTGGACTGTTTTCTTAGCGGTGCAGGTAAGGCTCACGTGCTCTCTCTCTCTCTTGATGACGCAACCGAACTGATGAAACTGGACTTGAACAATATTGGGTTTCGTGAATCTTTATAAGACTGAGCTCTTCAATTGAGGTTTGGGTTTTTCAAATAAATTGAGTTCTTCTTGGGCTTGACCCATCAGAGAATGCATTGGAAAATTTGTTCATTTCATATCCATGCATCCATAATGGAATTCAAACAGACATCATCTCCAATAATTGAACATATTATTTAACTTTCTTAAGAATCATTTACCATAGCATATACTACCGAAGACAAATTTATGTTAGCTCAACCATTATGTGAACTGGCATAAATTTATTGCCTTTTCTCTTCCTTGACAAAACTCATAAATAGTCTTAGAAAAACTGTAGATATATTTCTTGGATTCCAATTTAATGTTTTATCTAGCACGCTCCTTTGATTAAGGTTGGTATGCCTAAGAACAACAAATTATTGTAACAATGACATATTCAATGATCAAGATTAGTGTGCTAGGTTGCGATATACCTTCAACCCTATCTATTTGTGATATACTTGGTTGGTTTGGCCTCTTCTGTAACCCATGCCGCTGATAGTTAGGGGTAAATCACAGACTACTTACGCCATTGGATCAAGTGGTGTACTTGTGCTTGCTTATTGGTAAACTAGATCTCGCTATCCATCACGAAGGTCTGGGTCACACTCATGAATGTCAAAATCAAGGTCGTGATCCAAATTCTATAAATATGTCCAAATCACCTAAGTCAACGTTTTCTTAATTTATCTTCTATACATTACCTTATCTCTATTTTTTACAGAAATGATGATTCTTAATTCTATCTTTGCTATTTTTACTACACACCTATCTTAACATTATCATTTTCATCATATTATATTGGGAGTGACAGAATATGACACGACCTCTTAACATGACATGAATAAAATGTTTGAATCTTCCTTAAACCACCCATTTCGCAAATGAATGAACTCTAGACGACACAATTAATAAATGAATTAGATTGAGTGAAGTCAATCAAATAAAATACATAATATTTATATATTTGTTATACATAATTTATACATGACATGTACTAGTTATATACGATTTACACACGATAAGAACTCAATATGACATAATTTGTTAGACATTTATATAATAAAGTAGTTTACAATCCAAATTTTAAAAGATAAACAAAATGACTTTTGCTATTGGCGGTTGAGATCGTTTTAAATTTTATTTTAAAGTTAATCTAACGATTAACATTAACACCTTAAATTTAATAGAAAAAATAGGACTCTAAAAGTGTATTTCGAGTGACTTTTTAAAAGTATTTCTAAAAATTATTACTCATAAATACTTAAAAAAAAAAAATTATGTTTGAAACCGCCTACCACTGCCACCATCTTTACTACCACCACCCTCACCACTACCTCTACCACCACCACGAGCACTGTCATTGTCGCCACCACCACCACTATCATCGTCACCGTCACCGCCACCGCCACCTCCACCACCACCACCGCTGCCGCCCCTCACCACCAACACCACCGTTGCAGCCCCTACCATTATCGCTGTCATCACCATCACTATCGCCACTGCCGCTACTACAGTCATTTCTACCTATCACAAACCAACACCGTCTCTTACCTACCACTGCCGCCCACCACATCTCACCCCCACTATAAATCGATACTTAAATTCATTTATCTTTTTTTTATGTTTGTGATTTAATTTTGGATATAAACACAAATATATTTAATATTTTTTATTTTTTAGTACTCTGTCCCTTCATGCACAGACAATAATTAGTAAATTAATAAATGAGTAGAATATAGATAAAATATTTTTTTGATAAAAACCCATTAAAACCTGATATAACCCACCTCATCCGACATTATCGAAAATCCTACATTCAATCATGTGTGTTCGCCTAATATTGCCACTCCAGTTTTTTGGCATTTTGCCTACTAATTTTTAAAAGCAAATAAATGTCCTGACAAAATAAATAAAATAAATGGGTTCGTATCAGTTTTATTGTTTATAGGGTTTATCTTGATTAAGTCTCTCATCACACTGATTATTGTTGTGCAATTTCAGTGATAAACTGTCGAATTTGTTTTGATTAGTTGATCTTTTGTTTTTTCAAAAGCCAGAGGCTTTCGTGACAAAGCAGATTAAAGAGAATGAGTTCTGCAAATGGGTCTGGAGATTTGTCATCAGAGATGGAGGTGGATGCTTTTAGACGCCTTTTCCCTCTACGCTTTCATGAACGCCATCTGCTTGAATCAGTACGACCTGATGGAATGGAAGGCTACTGGGAAAAGCTAGAGGTACAACAGTGGCCCTTGGTTAGTTATTAATCTTTGTATGTTTTCTGAAAACTTGTAATTTTATCCTCTGATTTGGGAAATGCCTAAATTCGTATTCCTATTCTAATTAACTCCTTTAATACAGGAGCTGTTGCATCTGCTGATGGATCAGCACTAGCAAAAGATTGGTTGCACCGTAAGTGTTTTGCACATCAAACTTCTCTCTCTCTGATGACGTGTGGGATGAGGTTTTGTTGCGTTGGGACGATTTATTTAAATCATATCATGTTATCTGTGGTGGGTAATGGCTCTTTGCAATTAAAACTAATTCAAAGTCTCACATCTTGTGTTCTTGCACAGACCATGCTGGCTGCTATTAAAATGGAGGTCATGACACCTACGGTGGACTCACAAGATGAGGGCTACATAGCTTTAGCATCATCACTGGCATATTTTCTTCTACTGTTCTTCCTTGATATTCAGCCGCAGATGGTGTAAATATGTAAATTTCTATTTCCAGCTGTTGATTTCCACATGCCTCCAATTTGTTCCCCAATTGTTAGGCCTGGCAGGCCAGCCGAGGTAGCACCAGTTGTGTCAAAGCAGTTGTCTGACACGATCTTAGGGCATGTCGTTGCGCTATTCGGTTAAATTGTACTACTGTTTGCTAAGTAGTTTTTTTCCACTAGTTAGTTTGGTATTGCTTTAGTCTTTAGCATTAATCATATGCCTTCAAAATCCATTTGTATCCTGTATATCTATGCCGGAGGTGGTTTATTTTTTGTTTATTGTGCCTATTGTTACGTTTTCATATCACTAACTTAGTCGTGCAATATCTTTAAGGAAAAACTAAAAGAAAAGATAAACATAGTCCTGCAATGTACCAATACCTGTAAAATACCGAAGCTTAATATTCTAGTTCATTTTTTTCATCGAGTATAAAGGCAATTTTCGTTGGACATAATTAGTACCAAACTTCCCATTCAATATAAACTGCTCATCAGTTATTGGAGGTGTTATCATATTTCTCAACGTTATTATAACAGTGGTGTGGATTGGTTTTTTGTTTTTTTTTTGTTGAGACTATTGTAGTGATTTGCCAGTAATAATCGTGTCATACTTCACATTTTTTAGCTCCCTTTGTCTTTGGGGTTTCTTTATTTTTTTCCTGGGCTTGGGGATTGGGGGCTGGCTTTGAAGAATTTTTTTATTCTCTTTGCTGTTGCATTTCCTTGTATTCACAAACTAGCTCTGTGATGTTTTTTGACAATTTTAATACAACACTATGNCGACCTCTTAACATGACATGAATAAAATGTTTGAATCTTCCTTAAACCACCCATTTCGCAAATGAATGAACTCTAGACGACACAATTAATAAATGAATTAGATTGAGTGAAGTCAATCAAATAAAATACATAATATTTATATATTTGTTATACATAATTTATACATGACATGTACTAGTTATATACGATTTACACACGATAAGAACTCAATATGACATAATTTGTTAGACATTTATATAATAAAGTAGTTTACAATCCNTAATATGCTTACCCTTGTATTTTCTGGGTCTGGTTTATGGTTGTCTTTAAATGACTGATTATTCGGTTGTAGTTCTGGCATGATCAATATGAAGGAATTATCACTGGTCAGTGGGAAAGCTACTTGGATGGCTTAACTGGTAATGTATTCCAACTTCAGATAAATTCGGGAAGCATGTCTTTGAAAAATGATGTTGGATCTGAGCCTTTTGAATATGAATTGCGTGATCCATACATATATGGCTTTCAATCTTTTGGTTACTAGTCATAGAGTGTTCTTAGCATGAGCCTTTGGTAAACTATAATTAACACTACTAATTGTTCTCTATTGATAACAAAGATCCATATCTCCTTCTCTTGCAGGACATATATTGTTTGGATGCTGATGGTGCTCTTTTGGACACGGCATTACTTTCAGCAGTTGCTGCCTTCTCCAATTGTAAGTTCGACAAGGCTCTACTATTTGCNAATGACTTTTGCTATTGGCGGTTGAGATCGTTTTAAATTTTATTTTAAAGTTAATCTAACGATTAACATTAACACCTTAAATTTAATAGAAAAAATAGGACTCTAAAAGTGTATTTCGAGTGACTTTTTAAAAGTATTTCTAAAAATTATTACTCATAAATACTTAAAAAAAAAAAATTATGTTTGAAACCGCCTACCACTGCCACCATCTTTACTACCACCACCCTCACCACTACCTCTACCACCACCACGAGCACTGTCATTGTCGCCACCACCACCACTATCATCGTCACCGTCACCGCCACCGCCACCTCCACCACCACCACCGCTGCCGCCCCTCACCACCAACACCACCGTTGCAGCCCCTACCATTATCGCTGTCATCACCATCACTATCGCCACTGCCGCTACTACAGTCATTTCTACCTATCACAAACCAACACCGTCTCTTACCTACCACTGCCGCCCACCACATCTCACCCCCACTATAAATCGATACTTAAATTCATTTATCTTTTTTTTATGTTTGTGATTTAATTTTGGATATAAACACAAATATATTTAATATTTTTTATTTTTTAGTACTCTGTCCCTTCATGCACAGACANTTAGGAAGTATTTTGTTATTCTTATAAAAATGTTTCTATTGCCTAAATTTTCTTAGTGGATTTGTCTAAAATCATAGAATTGACTAATGCTTGCCAATGTAGACATCTCTTGGACCCAGAGTTCATGGGTTCCACATGGCCCGAAAATTCATGGGTTGTGTCTACAATAATCGAACTCGAATTGAGCTTTTNAATCTTCCTTAAACCACCCATTTTCGTAAATGAATGAACTCTAGACAACACAATTAATAAATGAATTAGGTTGAGTGAAGTCAATCAAATAAAATACATAATATTTATATATTTGTTATACATAATTTATACACAACATGTACTAGTTATATACGATTTACACACGATAGGAACTCAATATGACATAATTTGTTAGACATTTATATAATAAAATAGTTTATAATTCAAATTTTAAAAGATAAACAAAATGACTTTTGCTATTGGCGGTTGAGATCGTTTTAAATTTTATTTTAAAGTTAATCAAACGGTTAATATTAACATCTTAAATTTAATAGAAAAAATAGGGCCCTAAAGGTGTGTTTCGAGTGACTTTTTAAAAGTATTTTTAAAAATTATTTCTCATAAATACTTAAAAAAAAAAAAATTATGTTTGAAACCGCCTACCACTACCACTACCTCTACAACCACCACCCTCACCACTACCTCTACCACCACTACGACCACCGCCATTGTCGCCACCACCACCACTATAATCATCACCGTCACCGCCACCTCCACCACTACCGTCGCCACCACCATCACCGCTGCCGCCCCTATCATTTTCGCTGTCATCGCCACCACTATCGCTGCTGCCGTTACCACAGTCATTTCTACCCACCACAACCAACACAGTCTCTTATCTACCACTGTCGTCCACCACATTTCACCACTACTACAAATCGATATTTAAATTCATTTATCTCTTCTCTATGCTTGTGATTTGATTTTGGATATGAATACAAATATATTTAATAATTAGTAAATTAATAAATGAGTAGAATATAGATAAAATATTTTTTTGATAAAAACCCATTAAAACCTGATATAACCCACCTCATCCGACATTATCGAAAATCCTACATTCAATCATGTGTGTTCGCCTAATATTGCCACTCCAGTTTTTTGGCATTTTGCCTACTAATTTTTAAAAGCAAATAAATGTCCTGACAAAATAAATAAAATAAATGGGTTCGTATCAGTTTTATTGTTTATAGGGTTTATCTTGATTAAGTCTCTCATCACACTGATTATTGTTGTGCAATTTCAGTGATAAACTGTCGAATTTGTTTTGATTAGTTGATCTTTTGTTTTTTCAAAAGCCAGAGGCTTTCGTGACAAAGCAGATTAAAGAGAATGAGTTCTGCAAATGGGTCTGGAGATTTGTCATCAGAGATGGAGGTGGATGCTTTTAGACGCCTTTTCCCTCTACGCTTTCATGAACGCCATCTGCTTGAATCAGTACGACCTGATGGAATGGAAGGCTACTGGGAAAAGCTAGAGGTACAACAGTGGCCCTTGGTTAGTTATTAATCTTTGTATGTTTTCTGAAAACTTGTAATTTTATCCTCTGATTTGGGAAATGCCTAAATTCGTATTCCTATTCTAATTAACTCCTTTAATACAGGAGCTGTTGCATCTGCTGATGGATCAGCACTAGCAAAAGATTGGTTGCACCGTAAGTGTTTTGCACATCAAACTTCTCTCTCTCTGATGACGTGTGGGATGAGGTTTTGTTGCGTTGGGACGATTTATTTAAATCATATCATGTTATCTGTGGTGGGTAATGGCTCTTTGCAATTAAAACTAATTCAAAGTCTCACATCTTGTGTTCTTGCACAGACCATGCTGGCTGCTATTAAAATGGAGGTCATGACACCTACGGTGGACTCACAAGATGAGGGCTACATAGCTTTAGCATCATCACTGGCATATTTTCTTCTACTGTTCTTCCTTGATATTCAGCCGCAGATGGTGTAAATATGTAAATTTCTATTTCCAGCTGTTGATTTCCACATGCCTCCAATTTGTTCCCCAATTGTTAGGCCTGGCAGGCCAGCCGAGGTAGCACCAGTTGTGTCAAAGCAGTTGTCTGACACGATCTTAGGGCATGTCGTTGCGCTATTCGGTTAAATTGTACTACTGTTTGCTAAGTAGTTTTTTTCCACTAGTTAGTTTGGTATTGCTTTAGTCTTTAGCATTAATCATATGCCTTCAAAATCCATTTGTATCCTGTATATCTATGCCGGAGGTGGTTTATTTTTTGTTTATTGTGCCTATTGTTACGTTTTCATATCACTAACTTAGTCGTGCAATATCTTTAAGGAAAAACTAAAAGAAAAGATAAACATAGTCCTGCAATGTACCAATACCTGTAAAATACCGAAGCTTAATATTCTAGTTCATTTTTTTCATCGAGTATAAAGGCAATTTTCGTTGGACATAATTAGTACCAAACTTCCCATTCAATATAAACTGCTCATCAGTTATTGGAGGTGTTATCATATTTCTCAACGTTATTATAACAGTGGTGTGGATTGGTTTTTTGTTTTTTTTTTGTTGAGACTATTGTAGTGATTTGCCAGTAATAATCGTGTCATACTTCACATTTTTTAGCTCCCTTTGTCTTTGGGGTTTCTTTATTTTTTTCCTGGGCTTGGGGATTGGGGGCTGGCTTTGAAGAATTTTTTTATTCTCTTTGCTGTTGCATTTCCTTGTATTCACAAACTAGCTCTGTGATGTTTTTTGACAATTTTAATACAACACTATGCATGCCTTCCTGGCTCTACAAAGTATTTCTTCCCTAATATGCTTACCCTTGTATTTTCTGGGTCTGGTTTATGGTTGTCTTTAAATGACTGATTATTCGGTTGTAGTTCTGGCATGATCAATATGAAGGAATTATCACTGGTCAGTGGGAAAGCTACTTGGATGGCTTAACTGGTAATGTATTCCAACTTCAGATAAATTCGGGAAGCATGTCTTTGAAAAATGATGTTGGATCTGAGCCTTTTGAATATGAATTGCGTGATCCATACATATATGGCTTTCAATCTTTTGGTTACTAGTCATAGAGTGTTCTTAGCATGAGCCTTTGGTAAACTATAATTAACACTACTAATTGTTCTCTATTGATAACAAAGATCCATATCTCCTTCTCTTGCAGGACATATATTGTTTGGATGCTGATGGTGCTCTTTTGGACACGGCATTACTTTCAGCAGTTGCTGCCTTCTCCAATTGTAAGTTCGACAAGGCTCTACTATTTGCAAACTTACTATAGGCTTTATCACAACTTGGGAGTCATTTTAGGAAATAAATTTTATTATAACTCATGTTTTCTTTTCTTATATGCATATTTTTTCTCATGTGAGTTGTGAAGCTTGTATCATCGTAACTAACAAATGCTAGAGCAACCACTATAAATTTTCCAGTAATGAATGAATGACTTCAAAAATATCTTTCGTTTAGGAAGTATTTTGTTATTCTTATAAAAATGTTTCTATTGCCTAAATTTTCTTAGTGGATTTGTCTAAAATCATAGAATTGACTAATGCTTGCCAATGTAGACATCTCTTGGACCCAGAGTTCATGGGTTCCACATGGCCCGAAAATTCATGGGTTGTGTCTACAATAATCGAACTCGAATTGAGCTTTTTTACAGTTCAAAGCCTTGTCTAGTATGTTACTCTCAACACATCAGTAAAATTTTTGGTTTTGCAGTACAAATTCCTGTAGTTGCTCTGAATGATGATGGAAGAATAGTAGTTATGTCCGAGGAAAACGAGGGAGGAAAATTAGAAAAGAAGCCGGTTAACAAAGAGAAGAGGAAGCTCAAGTTGAGCAGCATTCCGTTCACCTTAACATGCATACTTCACAAGAATTATGTCCTGGCCCACCCTACAGCAGAAGAGGAGTCAATCATGGAAACTCTTATTACTGTGGTAATTAATTTATCTGGTTAGCTTGTGTCTCTTTACAAGCCTGGTGGACCAGTTCTTGCCTACACATCAGCTATACAGGTTAGTTTGCTCCAAGTTCATATGATGATGGGCAGGGGCGGAGCCACCATTGGACTTGGACCAGGGTGGGCACGTGCCCCCCCTAATTTTTTTTTTTTTTTGACATTAGATATAAATTTTTGAAAATAAAATTTAGATATATTTAATTGTGCCTACCTTCAATTTTTTTTTTTACATTATATATATATATATATATATATATATATATATATTTTTTTTTTTAAATAAAATTTAGACATATTTAATTGTGTCCACCTTAGTATTGTGTTATTGTGATATCGATTAAGATAGACGACTACTTAAGTAATAATTAATTTTTAAATAATGATATTGAAACTAATACATTGTGATATTAAATTTAATAGTGAGTCCTTACATTTAATAACATTTACTATCCATCCAATGGTCACAAACTATTGGGTTCCTACTAATTAAATTTTAAATTTTTTTTTGTCAAGATATAAAATTAAATTTTGAATTAGATGCAATTACTATTATTCTTAAATTTTTAGATACAGACATGTCCGAATAATTTTTAGATATATCGTGGTCATTTTTATAAATTATAGAATTATTTTTTTATTTTATAGAAATGAGCGTCATTATGTAATAAATTATAAGGTAATAAATGAAAGACTGTTATTACCATTTTGTATATAGAAAAAAAATATTTATTGATATCATTGATTTGTAATTTTTTTAAATGATAAACAATAATCAGATTCAATTGTAAAATGATAATAATTAGTTTCATACGAAGTTTTAATTAATTTACTGTTATTTTTTATTTGTTAATAACATGCAAATTGTTTTTTAACCTTTTATGTTTAATGAATTTTTACGCATCATTATAGTAAATATGAATTTTTGAACTTCGATGGTCAATTGAAAAAACAAATGAAAAATGTTATTTAGATCTAATTTGATGACAGTAGATTTCATCTAACATTGAAATTTACAACTAAAATAACAATTATATTGAATTAAGTTTATAAAATTGATAAAAAAAAATTAAAATTTATTATGTGTCCACCCTAAAGTATTTTTTTGGCTCCGTCCCTGATGATAGGTGTTGAGGTTCTCAAATGACGTAACTAAGAAGACATGTAAAATGTACTAAATATGGTTTTGCACATTTAAGCTGTAAAATAGAAAGACAGATAATAAAAACTGAGGGTCTTAAAATAGTTTTGTGCAATTNCAAACAACCTCTTAGTTTTCCTTTGGTGAAATCAAAAACCTTGGCAGCGATATTGTTTCATTTGGCCGATATATTGCAATGCTAAGTTGTAAAATAGATCGACAGATAACCGAAACTGAGGGTCTTTTGACTAAGTTAACAACCACCAGTCCGTTAAATATACAAAAGTTGTTTTGTGTCTTTTTTTCTTATCCATCAAACTTTTTTTTTTAGCATCAACATCNTTTGTCTTTATTTTGTGATAAACACTAAAACAGAAAATATGTTTGGGAGTCATTTTGTCTAAATTATGAGAATAAAAACAAAAAATATGTTTGGTAACTATTTTAAATTTTATTTGAAATATGTTTGGTATCTATTTGACAATTAAATCTCAAATCAACACAACATATGCACGGATCTGTGTATATATGCACAGATAAAAAAAGAAAAGCATATAAATCTGCAAGATTGAATATCGAAAATCCTTTCGAGAACCGATAGGCATGACACTAATCTTCCCATTTTCAGAAATCGAACAGAAGACCTCTGGTATCTGCAAGTCCATTCAGTGTATCCAGGAACTGAACAAGAACCCGTAGTTCCTTTCAGATTGCAATCCCTAAGGACAAATCCATGGGATCTGAGGAGCAGTGTAAACTTTGTTGGTGAGGATTGGACAAAGAGAGTTGTTAATTGTAGTTGATGGAGGAATAAATTATAATAAGTCAATCTCTTGCAAGCCATAATCTGTGCATATATACACGGATCAATCTCTTGCAAGTCATAATTTGTGCATATATATGCATAGCTTCTGGGTTTCACAGAGAAGAGGGAGAGAGAGAGAGACAACGATGGGGAGGAGAGCGACAACGATGGTGAGGAGAGAGGCAGTGATGGGTTTCTTTTGGTTGTCTGATACAGAGAAAGGAGAGAAAAGGGAGAGAGGAGGGAGACGGAGAGAGGGGTGAAATGAGTTTTTATTTTTCAACAAAAAAATTCTTGTTTTGCTATTAAGAGGAGTTGAAGTGCAGATCTCATTAATTCCTAAACTTTTTTGCGCGTTGTCTTTGTTTTTGGTGTTTCTTGGAATATCTTTTTTTTGTTCTCATTTTTTTGTCTTTGTTCCCATTTTTTCCAAGACAATTAATATAAAACAAAAACAAAAACAGTACCCAAACATATTTTTTGTTTCATTTTTGACAAAAATTGAAAACAAAAACAAAAAACATAAGGCAAAGACACTTACCAAACAACCTCTTAGTTTTCCTTTGGTGAAATCGAAAACCTTGGCAGCGATATTGTTTCATTTGGCCGATATATTGCAATGCTAAGTTGTAAAATAGATCGACAGATAACCGAAACTGAGGGTCTTTTGACTAAGTTAACAACCACCAGTCCGTTAAATATACAAAAGTTGTTTTGTGTCTTTTTTTCTTATCCATCAAACTTTTTTTTTTAGCATCAACATCCATAGAAACTGAGGGTCTTTTGATTAAGTTAACAACCACCATTCCGTTAAATATACAAATACTGTTTTGTGTCTTTTTTCTTGTCCAGGCATCAACCCCCAGTATGGTGTATGTGATGTCAAAGTATACAAATGATACTGTTTGGTAAATAACAGCTGCTAATGAGAAGGCTTGCTGGGTGCAGGATTGTGTCGCTTTGACAAGACAGAGAGTGAAAGAACTTGAGATCATCTTGGATGAAGTCATCTCTACCATGGAAGTGGACTAAATTGTAGAAGACTGACATCAACGGCAACAACTGGCTGGTAGCTCGTCTATTTTTCCAAATCATTCCAGCTGATTGTCTTATGTTCTTGAGGTGATATCAGAAATTTTGAGAAAATGTTACGAGGCAGAGTTGCTAATGCATTTTTGTCGCACTTGTGGAAATTTTTCTTATTCATCTTGAGTAACGAATAGGGTAGCTATTTTGCTGCTGAGTGTATAAAAGTGGGGGTCATTATTTCTTTGGTCATATTAATTTTTTATGTTTACTAGGTCGAAAGGGTATAGATGAGTTTGACTATGGTTGCTTTTACCGTCATAAAATCGTGCATTTGTAGTGACAACTTAGGATTATGTCCTTCTCTTCTTATGCATCCTACATGTGACAGCAGGATAGCCAGATACATTCATGAGAAGTATGATTGGCATTTGAATGAGTGATGGTCCTTGAATGTATATGATTGGCAGTTGAGCGCGTGACAGTCCTTGAATGTATATTTTGGCTATCGTCTTTGATGCGAGTCATTAACATCACCGTGAATAGAATACAAATTATCAAATAAAAACTGTTTTCAACTTTTACAATCAATTCATGAACCAAAAAAAAAAAACACAAGGCAATGATATAACACAGAGATACTTGCAAAAGTTTGAAAAATTAACAATTATGAACTATGTTTCTAGCTGTACTTAATCCAATCCCATTGGATATCAGGGTTCTTCACCTTTCCAAAGGAAAAAGTGAATGAAGATCTTCAGAGGCTTTAAATTGCCTATGAGAAGAGAAGGCATCAACAAAGTAATCCTCTACAGTTTACAATCATACAACAGAAATCTACAAAAGACCCCTTCCCCTTTGAAAGAATAGTGCCAAAAAAAAGAAACAAATACAGAGTTTGGTGTTGACATATGTGGTACATGTTTTTCTCCTCCCTAGCAAGTTGTTTTGTGTCGAAAAACTGTTTTTACCTTCACGCTAACTCCATTAGCAGTGGATCACCCGCTGCCATTATTCTAATCAGCTTTATGAACTCCTGCTCACTGGCCACATTCCAAGGGTGAATTGCAGGCACTTCGGCAGAATAAAATGTTGAAGAATTAGTAGGCGGTTTTTGCTCATAAATCATTGCATTGAACACCGAGTCAAAATTCTGAGGCGAGTCCATTGCCATGAAGAACAGTGGTATTGCAACCTTGTGATGGATATTAAGATCGCCCACTAGATTTACAAGATCACTAAAGTCTGCTACAAATTTCTGAGGAATGTAGAATACCTCAGAATTACATATTGTAAGGCTCTGGTCATTTTTCATGGATTCTTTGTAATTGACTTGCAAGTGAACTGGCATTGTACTAACAACTTTCTCTACCAATTCTGCTTGCTGTTTAAACCAGTCTGAGTTTCCATCAATTGGGACAGCAGTCCAAGACTTGGAGACCTACAAGCATAGAGTTTTTCAGAGAGAGAGAGAGAGAAGATTATTGGTGGTTGATGGTAACATATCGGCTTGTTATTCTTGGTCATTCATTCAGACAATAGCATTAATATATTGTTTTAATCATCCATATATAGGTTTCTTCAAACTAAATTAACCTTTTACCATTCAGCAGTAATGGCCCCCCATGCATTACCAAGATTAACATTCTTCAAGCCCTCAAATTTTCTTTTGCAAACAACAGACATAAATGGGTGATAGAGAAGACGAGTTTTGCTGTTCGTTTACCTTGTCCGTGATCCAGAGCTTAAGCTTGTCTGCTTGCAGCAAGTTCCAGTAATTAAGAATAGTATTGTCCTGGAGGAATAAGAACCCTTCTGCACTGCTGTATCTGACAAATAGTTCCGGCAGATGCCTGCAAATGAAATTTGGCAATGTTACAAGGGGAGAAAACGAAAAAAAAAAATGCAAAACTTTATGAATCAATAGAACAAATTGCCAATACCCCAAATCAAATTAAAAACATTGAACAAAAAGCTCCCCTTCAGTGATAAGCACCTAAGGATGCATTTGTCAATGAAAAAGCCAGATCACATCCGGCACCACAAGAAAAAAGCCACATCTTGGAAGCAGTTTTGGAAATCTCACACTATCACATCCCCATATAACAAGGATCTTGAGCGTCAGTTCAGTTGATCCTAAATCCCAGTCATCTTTAACCCAAGGTAGTTAAAAATTGAATGTTGGGACCTGGCCAAGTTTCATGCGTTATTATGACAATAAATCTAACGTAACATAAATTGAGGTTTCGAACTCAAAGTTTATTCAGGTAACCCAAAAGTTGGGGCAGGGATTTAGAGTAGTGGGATATGAAAGGTTGAAAGGTGTGGTGTGCAATATCCCACCTCTACCACACATCAAAAAAATGAGAAACAAGTTCATTTAACGTTTTTTGAAAAAGAAGACCAAAATTAGATAAAGATACTCGGAAACTTTATCCAAAAACATAAATAATACAAATTGAGCCAATTTCAAAATATGCAAACAAGTGGAAATATTTGAAATCAAAGTAACCTGTGCCATGACAAAGTCTTCTTTGTAATTGACATGCTTCATTGCCNCAACAATATGAGCTACACATAGGTAGATAAATAGATCTAGATAGGCAAAGAACCTATCATAACTCCAACAATTATATATATGAGATACACATAGGTAGATAAATAGATTTAGATAGGCAAAGTAAAATAGTACTACAATAAATTCTTAGTATTAAATTCAGAAATAAGTAAAATTTTAAATAATACTATAGTAGAGTCTAGAGATACATCCTACTTTGAAGACATATTCCCCCTCAAAACTAGAATTACAAACCCTAGTTAATGATAAACTATGACATTTGCTAGTGAGAGGCCATCTACTATTAGTAACAAAGAAATAGAACCTCAAGCATAACTTAGAAGAAGTAAAAGACAAAAGATTGAGAAAAACTTAGGAGATGGCATTTATGCTTTCTTAATCAAAGGAGACCCAACCACACACAAAGAGGCCATGCCTCCATAGATGTCCATTTTTGGAAAGAAGCCATAAACGATAAGTTCCAATCCATAATACAAAATAACACTTGGATTTTAACCGATCTACCATCTGGTAATAAACCAAAAGGTTGTAAGTGGATATTTAAGAAGAAGTTTAAACCTGATAGTAGTATAGACAAGTATAAGGCTAGGCTAGTGGCAAAAAGATTTACTTAAAGAAAAGGGGTAGATTGCGCTAATACCTATTCACCGATATCTAAAATTACAAATATATAAAATTCTAGTTGTCCTAGCTTCTATACATAACCTAGTCATCCATCAAATGGACGTTAAGACCGTATTCTTGAATGGAGACTTAGATGAAGAGATTTATATGGAGCAACCTAAAGGATATATAATCAAAGAACAAAAACATAAAGTGTGTAAATTAGTCAAATCTATATAGAGTCTTAAACAAGCTCCCAAGCAATGACATGAAAAGTTTTTTGGGGCCTAAAATATTATGAATTTAGAAAATTTTGATTTGGACTATGTACCTAGAAAATTTAGAGTCTTCTTTTAACATGGGGTTTAAAACCCAGACTTTGTCAGTTTTGTGGTTGAGCTGACTCCGTTTATAACGTGTATGGGAAAACATGTATTTATTTTGGGTACACAAAATGGATATGCAAATAGTTCACTCCACATATCCGTTAGGGAACATTACCCCTCAGTACCACACAACTATTTACAGAGAATTCCACTGCACCTATGTTAGAGCCGGAGCTCAGGTCCTACCACGTGCTTTGGATGTTGAAGAGCAGGTTTAGCTCTAATGAGTTGTTGTAGTTATGAAAATTTGAACTCAAACATTGAGCAAGAAAATTCGAATTCTTACCCAATAAATCAACATCTCGTTGATTTAAAACATGTATTTCAAGATTTAGAATTGATTTGCATCTATTTTGTAGATGGCATAATGCTGTTGTGTTTCTCAAATTATTTACAATTTCCACAACCCAACACAAAAGCAAGCATTTGGCCAAGCAAGAATCAAAACGACCTTGCAACCACCCAATTGCTTTAAAGAAAGCTGTCAACGTCATTTGTATCCTTCATTTTTATAATCCTTTGTTTGCCATCATAACCTGCCCAATGGCAAGCTAAATGGCAACTCCCACTTCTATTATTTATTATGTGAGTTGACCACATTGTCACTTAAATTAGCCTAAAATCCATAGTTTTTAGGATTCTTCTGGTTTCTCTTTTCCTTTACCTCAGAATAATTTAGCTGTCTATATGGTTACATCAAAGGGAGCCTTGCTTGGGGAATGATTTTTGTCTTTCGAGGAAGGAAACACATTTTTGGATTCCTAATTAGAAAATAAATTTTGCATGCAATCATACACACTAAATTAGTTGAACCTCGAACTTGCAATTTAGAGTAAACTACTTAAATGGCCATTTAACTATGATTTATGTGTTCATTAAGTTCTTGAATCGTGTCAATTGAGTCTCTAAATTCGAAAATTTTATTAATTAAGCCCCTGAACTAATTTTTGAGTCAATTGAGCAACTAAACTCTAAAATTTTAGTAATTAAATTCTTCTGTCAATAGCCATTAAGTTTTTGGACAGAATATCTCATATGCTCACTACATGGACAACATATTAGGAATATTTTAGACTGTTCATTCGAATCCTATTAGATGAAAAACTTCATTCCATATACCTATCAATCGAAACTCTAAATTTAAACCTCTTTCATACCCCCATCAAACAAAACGGATTAGCAAACTCTTCGAAGAACCTACATTTAAGTAATCTGTTTTCTACACCATATCGAAGAACTTGTTAATCTGCTTTGTTTGATAGATATGAAAACCTCTAATCTATTGTCCATGTGGTGAGCATGTGAGACATTATGTCCAAAAACCTAACAGATGTTGACAGAAAGACTTAATTGCTAAAATTTTAGAATTTATGTGCTCAATTGACACAAATATTAGTTCAATGACTTAATTAATACAATGATCATAATTTTACGACCATTTATATAGTCTACTCTACAGTTTATGATTCTATACCAATCACAGGTAGAGCCAACAAGTGGTAAGGGCATATTAAACGTTATTCAAGCATAATTTATTATGTCTTCTCTACTAGTTCCTTGATTTAATAGCGCTCTTGTAGAACATGAACCGCAATTGAATTGTAAATTACATGTTTAGTTCTTTTAATTGTGTTAGAGTTCTTAAACTACATTTTTTTTAAGGTTATGAGTTCTTAGGTTGATTGTCAAATTGTTTGCAATTAAACTAAAATTGGTTTTTATTTCTCTATGACTGATCGCTTTCATTTCTCTGTGACTGTGGATCGCTGTCATTACTGTGTTGGTTTCTTAATGATAATTTTTGGAAGATAATTGGTCATTTAAATTCTAAAACTAAAGATTATCAATCTAAAAATTGATTTGTATTCATATAAATGTTCCTTCAATTGATTATCAAGCGGTGTTCGATTTACGGGGTCCCCATGTCTTTCTACTTAGGTTTCGATGGTTGTGTGGTGACGGGTTTCTCCAAAAGGGCCTGTAGTTATGATTAATCGAACATTTCACATCGGGGGAGACTCTTATAGTCACGCCTAGAGGGAGTCACTATCTACTGGTTGCCCCTCTCCCCCTTTTTGTTGATAAAAAAAAATGATACTCAGAATGAAGTTATCATGTTGAAAATGTGAAAAATTATTATGACCAATGACCTGAATTAGCCTTTTTTTTTAGGTAATAATTAGCATATTCTTTGTCTATATACGTTATGATATTAACTTTTCACCTTTTTTTGTATTTAATAGATCTTTATTAATCCAGCGTGTATACAAATACAAATATACATCTTATTTTTATCGATTGAGAGACAAAAATTAAAAATTATAGCAAAAAATACACCCCACAATAAATTTCTAGCTCTAGTCTTCGTACAAATGAAACTAACACATTCTAAGTAGGAAAATGCTATTTAGACTTAAAACGTGTATTTGATAATCACAATTATTAGATAGGTAGTAGGTCCCAATAAATACTATGACTCGCAGTGAACTCTAGTCTCGGCGTAGATTGTTTGGCTTTGATTGGATTGGGTTGATCTTTTCACCAATGGCCTATATATATTTGACCAATCAATGCTTCGACCGGTCTGATTCCTTTGACAAATACACACCTTACCTAGCCGGCAACATGCAGATGCTGATTCTCAGCAGATTCAATCCAGTCAAATACAACTCATTTACGTCAAAAACAGAATAAATATTCGTAAGGGAGAAGTCTCTCTTAGTCTAGCCTAAGAGGTTACTAATATTTAAACTTATGACGTATAAGTTTACAACTCGTTTCTGTCATCACTTGAGCTGTCTTTGAAATTATTTGGACATTTCTAACGCCAAAAGAAAGTAAAAACGAAAACGAAGGTCCATCAAATTTCTGTCTAATTATGATATTGAAGGATTTTTTTTGATAAAACAGTACATGTAAAATTGTCTAAATTAGTTATTTTGATAATCAATGATATTAAATGAATCAAACGAAGATCTACCACTACAAATCATATTTTGCTATTCATAATCTTATTCAGAACTTACATACTCCTATAAACAGGAGGAATGATATGACTTTTTTATTCACCACCCCTGTTTCTTCCTTGACAATCTATCTAAGTGGATCCAACGGGGAAAAAACAATTTTTATCGGCATTAAGAAAAAGTTAAAAAAATATGCTTATTCAAAAACTTCTAAACAAAAATCGATTTTTTTAGAAATATTTCAAACGGTTTAATTTTTTTTTTTAATTTTGAATATTTTATTTTATTTTTTAAACCTATGCTTCACATCAAAAAAAGTCAGTTCCAAATGGGTGTAATATTTAATCTACTATTTTAGTACTAGTCATTTCGTTATTGTAAAAATAATCAAAATAATCTTCAACAAATTAAGCAAATAAATAAATAAAGGACCTATATATGCAAAAAAAAAATTGCAATTAAACCTAATGCATACATGCATGAAGGCCAAGAAGAAAATTGAGAGGAGGAAAGTCATTATGCAACCAAAGAGCAAGTCAGTGAGCTTTCTGGTCACCTATATAGCCACCTTGTTTTCCCTCCTTCCCCAAAACATCTCTCTCTCTCTCTCTCTCTCTCTCTCTCTCACACACACACACACACACCACACTAGAAAGTGCAACACAGGAGGAAATTTGTGGAGATATTGGATGCAGGAGTGAGAATAGCAATCAGGTTTCATTCCCACTGTCCTCAGACTGCAAGGATGTACTACTATTCACCCTGCAATTCGGATGGCCACCATAGCCACGATCATGGACCCAATGGTAGCAATGGAGGCTACTCTCTCGCTCAAGACTCGACTACCCAGATGTGTGGTTTTGTTGTCAATGCAGATATGAATTATGATAACAATGATTTTAGTTTTTACTCTTTAGTCTGAAAAGCACACAAGAGTTAACATTGTGTAAGGACTAAGGAGGCTTTCATCGCGGTCTAAATAATTGTACTCCTCAGAAGAAGATGATATTTCTATAGGTGGCTGTCTCTCTTTCTTTCTCTCTTTATTTTTTTCTTAGCAAAAAAAAGATGAAGGCAAAGGAGAGCGCCCATAAACCAACCATAGACTCCCACTGGTGTGATCATAAGGTCCATGACCGCATCTGTTACTCTTCTTGAGAACAAATCTAGTTAGACTAATATAGTGGTTTATCACCGAGCCCCAATGTAGATCCTAAGGCTCGAACATTCAATCTCAAAATGAAAAATTATGTCGGTACCCCACTAGACCACTCTATTCAGTGATTTTCAATAATTGATTTTTGAGTTAATTTTATCTGTAGTAATGAGTTGTGAAAACTTTTTTATGGTTCAAATCAAACGAGTTAGATCTACTAGCTCAAGTAATGGTAACAATCGTTGAATTTGAAAACATAGTCAGCAAAATTTTTTTTTAAGAGATTTAAGCTCGCTTCCTCTATTTTTTTAAATAATATAAAATCAATTAGGTCTAATTGAGCCGGCCAATCCTTGATTCTCTCAAGATTCTCTTAACCAAATATCGATGGGTTAATCTATAATACAAAACAAGGGAGGGCAAGCTTCAATTAACCCATCTGACAATTTTAAATAAATTCATCTAACGATTATCAACATCCCTCTTAAAATTATTTACATTAAATTTTACCTTCGTCTATTGACTCTGCTCTCTCTATCTTTTTTTGGGATCTTTACTCTTCACTTCTCCAAATTAACTGGTTGATATACATTAAATCATATCTTCAAGCACGAATTACCCTTGATCCTTATTTAAGACAAAACTAGATCTTTCATGTCTTCTTCTTTGTGAGTTCTATTTTGTCTTCTTTATGGAAGATGACCTAGAGATTCCTTCTAATTTTTAAAATATCATTTATTTGTTCATTTCACATCCCTACCGTCAAAAGACTTATATGTGTAAAAAGTAATGACGGCAGTGAAAATACCTCCTTAAATGACAATTTTTCCCAATAAATACAAAATTACAAGATATCTATAATAATAAGATAGAACTTAATTTGAATCTTTTTTTACTTCAAATTTTAATTTAATTTTAATTCATTTGAAAAAGCACAATGATAGCTTATATTCATTCTAATTTTAACTCAACAGTCTAGATTTTATCTAATTCTTCCAATTAGATCTAATGACCCACAATTCATCTCACTTACAAAAAAATCCCGCCCAAATGGAACCCAACCCCTACACGCTGCCCACCCTTGCACTCTACACCAACCCAACGGATACTCTCTCTCTCTCTCTCTCTCCCTCCCAGAAGATCAACTTAGACGCGTTATCTCTCTCTCCCAGAAGACTGCTCACCTTTCACATGTACGAATTTGGTTGTTAAGTTTTGTAAGAAATTAAATGATAGGGTTCTCCAATTGGGGTTTTCCATGACATTGTGGTTAAATTAAAATTGTTGTTGTGGTTGCCAATTAAACTTACTTCGTTTTGATGCATAATTTTTTTTTCATGATTTTTTTATCGAGTGAGTTGTAAAAGTAGAGAATGAATCAACCATTGGAGTGCTAATTTTTAACAAACCTTCTGATGTTGTTATCAACTAATTGGTTTTGATGTAGGTTGTAGAAGTTCGAACCTTGGTGTGTAGTGGATGAGGTTAAAAATTACACAGCAGCACACACACACACACACATCTGCACACACACACACACTGCACAGCAGCTCACAAACTCACAAATCTGTTTGTGATTTGTGTTTGGGTTTTTGAATTTGGATTAATTTGAATTTTTGAATGTTTGTGTTTAATTTGGGTGTTNCATGGACAACATATTAGGAATATTTTAGACTGTTCATTCGAATCCTATTAGATGAAAAACTTCATTCCATATACCTATCAATCGAAACTCTAAATTTAAACCTCTTTCATACCCCCATCAAACAAAACGGATTAGCAAACTCTTCGAAGAACCTACATTTAAGTAATCTGTTTTCTACACCATATCGAAGAACTTGTTAATCTGCTTTGTTTGATAGATATGAAAACCTCTAATCTATTGTCCATGTGGTGAGCATGTGAGACATTATGTCCAAAAACCTAACAGATGTTGACAGAAAGACTTAATTGCTAAAATTTTAGNAAAAAAAAATTTATTATTATTATTATTATTAAAAATCCTAATAAAAGGGGTAAAATAATAATTAATTGTTAAATTATGGGTCAAAAACGTAAATTTTAAAAAAATAATAATAATAAATTGATACTATATATATATATATATATAAGTGGAAGTGGAAGACTTTGTCTTCTACTTTTTATTTTCTTCTCCAGCCAGCGAGACAGAGTGAGTGAGAAAAAAAAATGAATTTTTTATTTTTTTTTTCTTTTCTTCATTCTCAGATCTACGGAAATTTAACCGTTTATTCGCTTCGGGCCAAGAACTAAAGTTGCTCTACTCAGCGAGAGTTACGCAACCACACCAAATATTGTATTTTTCTCCGAAGGAATATCAAAGCCGATAATCTAGGCCTAAAACTTAGGAAGCTAAATTTGGATTTCCTTGGCGTTCTAGTAAGTGGTCTCACGCTACGAGAGGTAGGATTTCCCCTATTTAGATTTAATTTCAACTTAAAATATGGTATATGGAATGAGTAGATTATGAGTATATATCACATGTTAGGTCTTGACTAGTGTGACTAGTGGGTCAAAATATAGAATTTATAATTAATCTTGTGATTAATAAAATTCTATTGTGATTAACTTGGTGTAAGTTAATGTTAGTAGTTTAAAACATGTTAATTGTATGTTAGCATTACTTTATATTTTAATGGCAGATCAAGTTTAATAAAATTAGTAACTTGTTATATGATTGTGAAATAATATATATATGTTAAATGATTATTTAACATATGATTATTTTAGTGGACTTGTGCTTATGTTAAACATGTTGTCATGTTACAAGTCATATCATGCTAGTTGTGTAAATTGATGTGCTATTTAGGTGTTTGATTAAATGCCTAGGTGAATACAAGTATGTTAGTTGAGTTGATTATCTTACATAACATGCTTGAGATCGTGTTAAAATGTCATTATATTGTATTTATTATGTAATAGACATTGTATTTCATTATGCATGGGTTGCACTACATTCATGGGTATTGACATGGGTGGGAGTGTATGCATGATATGAAATCAATCACCACATAGGTGGTTGAACGTGGACTCGGAAAAGTCGCACCAAGGTTCGGTTGAGTCGCACGGGAAATTAAATGGATAAATGTGTTGGGGACAACAAGAAGGGCTAAATTCTCTCTCGGGTGCAAAACCCGCTCACTTGGTTTATACACTTTCCANTATGAATTTAGTTTATTTTTTGCGTGGATTGTGAATTTTAGTTTAATGAGTAGCCTTAATGAAATTGATAGATTTAGGTGATGTGCACTTAAGTCAAGAACCCATTTCAACTAACTTTTTTGGAGATTAAGTGAAAGAGTCATTAGCGTCCTGAGTGGTAAATTTTTTTTAACTATGTGAATGACTGTGTTTTTATTTCTACTCTTTTAAATTTATGGCTCTTTCATAATTACAGGTTTGCCTCCTCAATACCGAGATTCAGTCTAGGTTTATACAACTACTCCACCTTGGTGCTTTGAAGTGAGATTTTTTGGCTTGATGTACTAAGTGTTTTATTTGCCTAGGTGATATACATCTTATTTGTGGTTTTGAATATGAATTTTAGTTTATTTTTTGTCTGGATTGTGAATTTTAGTTTAATGAGTAGCCTTAATTAAATAGATAGATTTAGGTGATGTGCACTTAAGTCAAGAACCCATTTCAACTAACTTTTTTGGAGATTAAGTGGTGGTCATCAGTGCAGAGGGTCATGGAAAGGAAGTAAGTATGTCAATTGAATTGTTTGCATTTGAAATTATATGTTAAGTGCGATTTTTTATGTCTAATTTATTTACCACAATTCCATATTTATTATGAGGAAAAGGGTCATGGAAAGGAAGTAAGTATGTCAATTGAATTGCTTGCATTTGAAATTCTATGTTAAGTGCGATTTTTTGTGTCTAATTTATTTACAACAATTCCGTATTTATTATGAGGAAAATGTTTTATGGCAAACAATTGTTGTATTGCTTCAGTGAAAAGAACTCAAATTGTAATATTTTTCGTGATGTCCTATGTTGTTATTGCTATGATCAACATATTGCATCTTATTGTTGACTAGTTCTTCATAGAGTTGTGTTACCAATAATCTAATTCAATGCAAAATTGAATTGAAAATACCAAAGGAATATGCCAAATTCCTTTTAATCTTTGATTCCATATGGGTGAGCATTGAAGAGTTTGAATATCTAAGGGATTGAACTATTATGAGTGTTTCTGTAGTTGCGAAAATAAGAGTATATAACTTATTGTTCATTTTCTATGTTTACGACCTTTCTATCGAGAACTCAATTGCTTTTAAATGGTACAATGCTCAAGAGGAGATTCTTGGAAAGAAATAAAGGTATGTGTTGGTTTCGTTTTCAATTTTCTTCCCTTTTTCTACAATGCTAACTAATTTACATGGTTGCAGTTATTAATTTCCTTTCTCTCTCTCAAGACTCAAATGTGCACTACTCAAATTGAGTCTAAAATTTATATTGTTTTGGTAGTCTTAGAATTGTTTTTGATGGATTTGGGGTTAAATTTATGAGTGGCATTGCATTAATTCTTTTATCTCACAACACCATCACCGTAAGATATTTATGGTGGTCTTCTTCATTTTAGTTGGAGTTTGTTCAGGTCAAGTTTTTTTTTTAAAA